TTTCCTCATCCTATTCTGATAACAGGTGTATAATGACAGGTATAGAATATTTTTATTCATGGAAAAAAATTCAATTTATAATTTATAGAGTTTATATAACAAGTGCGGCAGTACTAATAAATATTTTACTTTATATCATTAATTAAATCTCTTCAAATTGATTAGCAAGTACAGCTGTAAAATACCTAAGGTATTCGTGTATTGAGTAATTATCAGACCAATTGTGTTTCTGAAGTTACGGGATCTGCTCTGATCCCATACATGTCCGCTGAACATATAAAACTTAGCTAAAGGGACACTAGGCAGTAGCAAGTAGTACATATCCTCGTAATGTGAGATGTTCACTGGAAATCAGACTTGAAAAGCTGAATAATGCAATAATTCTGAGTAAGTCCGTAAATAATATATATATGAATGAAAATTAAATCTATTTTTAAACACAAATGAGTGGAAAACATATTTGGACAAGGTGAATTTTCGTGCCTAATATTTTTTGTGAATTTATATAATTTCCAATTTATGCATCTAAATCAAATAATAATCAATCAATATTAATCAAATACAAATAAATTGTAGAATATATATAGCAACAATGTTATACCTATAGTATAGGACACTGTCAAGTCAGGGCAAGCCAACACCAAGTTGCGCCAAGCAGCGTCCGCTACCATGTGTTGCCTAGAATCCGAATCTCTCACGGATATATACAGGTATTTCAGTGTTTTCGATGCTCCGCTTGCAAGAGCATCAAGAGCATAATTCGATAAAGCCGGATAGTCCAATTTCAATAGAGTTAGCGCGTGAAAACGACCTAGTAAGCGTAAATATCTAAAAAATAATTCAAACACATTGTGTCAATCACGATTTATATAAAATTGTTACGAATAAATCCTCTCTCAAGTTATGAACATGCTCTTTTAATTTAACACAATTAATTTAATTCTCATTTATATGTTCATATATATATATAATATTTTCTAATATTTTTACGTGCTTTGGATTGTCATGAGGAGCTTGCCACTCTCTGAAAGCACCGCGGAGGTCCAGGGAGACTAGATGTTCACCAGATCCTTTGGCAACTGTTCCAAGCAATCGCAAGACGTCAGTCACACCAAAATCGGCGTTTAACAAGCTCAGGATTTCCAGGCTGCGTTGAGTGCTGTACAAAACAGAAAAGGGATTTTAGGATAAGCTCTTGCATTTTATCAATTAAGGTCAATACAAAAACAATTTGATTACCGCAGAAAATTAGCCAGGGCAGAGAGCAGTATTCCCCTATTGCCCCATTTGTAGCCAAACACCCAGTTCGTTAATGTCAATTGTCGCAGTTGTATGTCTTTGGCACGGATGATTGCGAGAAAATCAGCACCCGCCTCGGCTTGAATGTTGCGTCTGATCCTAACTTGTCTCGGTGAGATGTATGGTCGTGAAAAAGCGAGCTCTAGGTTGCGCATATGCTGTCCATATTTTGCCTGTCAATATTATATCGTTTAATTTATATTATCAATATTAGCTATACTGAACGTAACATGTAATGACATAATATAATATAGCAAATTTTCAAGATTGCCTTAAAATGATTAAAGCGATTGAATCAGAGATCGATGAAGATTTTTCAAGAAAATTTCGAGAGAATTTAAATTTGAAAAAATTTATAATACGATAGTGAGCTTCTAATTCTTACTATTGCAATCTTTATTTTCATCTCTTTTTTTGCCTATTTTTCAAAATAGATCGGCTTTTTCTCAAATTATACTTTCTTCTTCAAATTCACGATCTTGATTTCATTTCGGACTCGAATTTCAAAATTCTAGATTTAATTAAAGTCGCCGAAAAGAATTTCATCGAATGATGGAAAATTCTCTTACGGCCAGTTCTCCTGCTAGGGGGAAATCGCCGCGTAAATCGCGATCGATGAGAACTGTGACGGATCGCCATAGCACAGGTGAAGACAACGTGCGATTCCATGATCGACAGACTTGACTGACGCTGGCGCGATCAGTGCGATCAAGATAGTCGAATATCTGCGTCAATATCAGCTCAGGTAGCTGATCCCACATCTCCTGGCTCCAATTTGGCTCTTCCTCATCTCTTCTAAGCGATCGTTGGCCTAAATTACTGTTGGTCGTTTTATTTTCTTGATTTCATTGAATTTCGTCGATTGCTACTGTCAAAAACTATCGATCATGAAGGATTGGATTGAAGCATGATGGGATTGAAGTGCATCCCGAAAGGAACTATACATGAGGAGAATAAATAGATGGATGTATTCTTACATGGGCAAATTCTAAATGGTTCAATACTTAGAGCTCTGACGAGAATATGGTCCTTTAGTTCCATAATGCGCATGATATGTATCTTCTATTCTTGTTCAACGTTCGGTGAATAACAAGAATAAAATAATACATCATGCGTTTTATAAAACTGTATCAGAATAATAATTGCCAAATTTATTGTAGATATTATCTACAAAAAATATGTAGATACATATGATATATAAATGAAATAAATATCTTATAATGATATCAAATTAGGGATGGCGATACAGTATATATGGATCTTTCGTAATATTATTGATATTTTTTAATTGAGATATCGATATTTTAGTTAGACGTCGATATTTTGAAATATCGATGCTGAGTTTATATGTATCGATATTCGATACAGATGAAACTTCGGATATTTTCAATCGCAGATTGTGCACGGCTTGCTAATTTGCTATTCCATAATCATTAATTTTGTATATCTATTATCAGTATCCTTCTATTATAAAAAAACATCTATTACACAAATCTATTACACAAAATATAATTTTTTATTTTAGTTCCGAGAAAGTTTTTAATTGTAAATGTAATTAAGCTTATAAAATTAATTTTCAGTCGTAACAACTTTGCAAACCAATACATCTTGAGGTTGGCAACTGTTTCCGAACAAGCACCCTGCACCGGTGCCACCGGTCAGTCAAAAAAGAAACCCACGGTGACCCACGGTGGTCTATGCTTGTGCTTTTGACTGTGGTTGATTTGTTGAATTACAACGTGTAGTTTTGTGGAACTTATTTTTAAACACAAATTTGTTTGTTTCTTGTCGTAAAAAATTAAAAGAAGACGAAGTAAAGAAGCTGATGATGTCTTGTTTTGTATAATGTATTTTTGTATATTTTTATTATTTATCGGAGAGGTTATTACATGACGTATTTTGAATTTGGTAAAATCTGACATTTTAATAAAAGCAGTGAAAGATAAATTGTCACGGGAGATATTAAAGCACGAAAAATGCATTCTCTAAAGAAATTGTCCTTTTCATTTAGTCGTATATTAAGAAATAACATACGACGCACCCTAACCTCTCAACCGGCTGCGAATGTGAATGTTGACAAAGATAAAGGTATGTATTTGAAATTTTATGAAGAATGTTGCAAGCAATCATAGGTTTGGTAACACGTATTTTATTTCAGAGAAAACAATATTAGTGAAACAGATGAATAAAATCACTACAATCGGTATTAACCGTCCTGAAAAGAGGAATTGCCTCGATGTAGCAACTGCACATTTGTTATCAGAAACGCTAGATGAATTTGAAAATAATGAAGAATCATTAGTAGGAGTATTATATGGAGTAGGAGGCAATTTCTGCGCTGGTTACGATCTCAAAGAGATTGCAGATTATGATGGTGAAAACGAGGAAAGCATACCACATTTTGGACCACTGGTATATTTGCATTATATATGAAGCTATGAATTTGTTAAGGATATTAAAAGTCTCTTTGGTCTTTATAGGCAAATAGAACTGAATTATCCAAGAAACCATTGATAGTAGCTTTGAATGGATATGCTGTTGGAATAGGATTCGAGCTTGCTTTAATGTGCGACTTGAGAGTCGTAGAGGAGACAGCAATGGTAGGCTTCTTAAATCGACGTTTTGGTATTCCAATTTCATGTGGAGGCACTGTCCGTTTGCCTGCCATGATTGGGTATTCCAGAGCTATGGATCTGATATTAACAGGAAGACTAGCTACTGCACAGGAAATATTCAATTGGGGAATTGCACATAGTTATACAAGTTGTGGTGCAGGTATGCTTCTTTTGGATTTATTTTAATTTTTATAAGAAAAGCGTGTTATGTTGTATAGAATCCAATTCTTGGTTCACAGAATAAATTATAATTATTGAGATAACAGTATTTTTACTTAATACAGTAGAACTCCATTTATCTGAATATCGAAGGACAAGACAGTTTTGATAACAGTTTGGGTAATAGAGGTTCACTAAGGCTGGTATCCATAGTTGGTTTTTATATTAAAAAATCTTAAAACATCACAAACTAAAAACTACAAAACCATATTAACATTTTAAGACATTATATAAGATTGAAATAAGAATGGATTATGAATACCGGCTTAACTGTTTGCTCTATTAGTTCCAATAATAGGAGCTGATGTTCAGAAAACTGAAGTCGAACAAATGAAGCTTTTGTTATTTGAATAGCGCCGTAATTTGGATACTAGGAGCTCAACTGTGAGTTCGGATATTTGAAACTGAGCATGAACTCGATCATATAAGTGGATTGCAGATAAACATAATTTTATTGTACTTATAGAAATTATTTCAAGCCATTTGATTATATAAAATCATTGATGATATGTATGTGTCTATCTTTAAGTATATTTTTTCTAGCTTTAGGTAGAGCGATGACCTTGGCAAATTCTCTTGTAAAATTCCCGCAGAAAAGTTTGCTAGCAGATCGCGCTTCAGCATATTTTGCTACGTTTTCACCAAAGCAAATAGAAGAGTCATTGCAGTTTGAGAAAGACAATTCTTCGCATTTGATATTGGAGGAAGGTGTTCCAGGCGCCAAAAAATTTGTCGATCGTGGAATTGGAAGGCATGGGAAGTTTCATAATATCACGAAGCAAGATAAGAGCATTCGAGAACTAGATGAAAATTTATTATAAGAACTTCTGGCGCATATGTGTATAATTGTATATATAATGATGTACGTAATATATTTTTAGTATAGCTCTCTAAATATGTGTGTAATAAATTTCTCAATTTTCATAATATATTTTCATTGGTGTATGACAAATTGATTGTGTATGTATGGAAGGCTGAAAATGATAGTGCTATACCATTATTTACCCGTTTTAAGTCACTTTGTTTAAATTTCGACTTGAAGTCTTGACTTGAATTAGTCTACTGAAGTAAATATGTCGAAAAAACCTTTTGTTTCTTGAAATCATACATAATTAAGTAACTTACACCACTATAACTTACTCTTTACAAACATATTTGATACATGACATCCACACATCTATTTTTTCAAAAATTAACACTATCTAAACACATGCATTTTAGTACAATTGTGATTGTAAAGTAACATTCTTTATTCATTAGATTTATTATGCATTATTATACTTTTTGAGTACAGATTTAACGGAAGCTTTTTGTGATGGTCTTTGGATTTTCGAGAAAATATCGCAAAATCTCTTGGCCGCTTTTCCGGTTAAAAGCGGGGTAAGGTTTATCATTTGTCCATTTTCATCTCCTGAAAAATATCTTTTATAATTTCAATAATAAATAGAGTTATATAATATTATTATTTACGTTCGAAAGTAATGATAAAATATGTTAAATCTGGTTGAAGAATATCTGTTCCACGTGTACAAGGTTCATAAAAAGATGTACTCTTCGGATGACAATTTATTTCATCGCACAAATCGAACTCGCCTGGAAAAAATTGTTTTCTACGAAATATTTATTTTTATGTTCACTTTAATAATTAAAAATAATTAAAACTTTATAATTTATCAAAATTGAAATCGTATGATATATCGACAAAGTTATTGTTAAAGCGTATTTAATTATTTCATATTGTTTAAAGATTTTTATTTTATTTTTATTTACATATACCATTCACACGTGCGACTTTTCTTATGTAATTGAGTATCATTCTAATTGGACAATTTATATTCACCAGTACTTCTCTGTCTACAGCTGTGACTTCTAGATGTCCAGCGTCATCGTCATTTGATAAATATTCTGAAATTATAATATTATAACATTATATTATGACCTATTTAAGAAGATAATGATTTCATACCAACGTATTTAACCTTTATGATAGTGGTCATGTCAAATAATGTTTGTCAACATCATAAACTGTAACAAAATAGAAAATAGATTGCATATTCTTTTTTCAATGCATTAATTTTATTTATGGACGCTGTACAGGGTGTCCCAAAATTCGCGACTTAAAATAGCAAGAAAAAAATTAAGTAAAGAAGTTATTTGTAAATTTGTATATTAAGCAATAATTTTTTAGATATAAGGACTTAAATATGGCCAATTTCAGATTATATTTAGATGGGGCGCCTTTTCATTATCCAGCCAGAAGCGATCACAGCCAAGACCATCTTCGTCTTTAGGGATCAGAAGACGAAGATAACCTCAGCTGTGGTCGCTTCTGGCTGCACAATGAAAAAGCACCAATGGTCACCTATGACGGCTGTGAGTATTAGTGAACGCGCTGAAGTGAGCACTTACCGGCGCTTATTAATATTTACGACTCATGGACAAATGATCATCTAAACGTAATCTGCAATTGGCCACACTTAAACTTAACTCAAACATTGCTGCTTAAAATAAAAATTTATAAATAACTTTCTTATACTTAATTTTTCGAGAACTTTCTTACTATAGTATTATGAGTCGCAAATTTTGAAATACCCTGTATAAATAATATAAATTATACAATATGTTGCTCAATCTTTACTTTAATTTAGTTCTTCGCTTTAGTTAAAGTTGTACAGATTTTCAGAAAGAAAAAAATAATTTTTTTTTAATTGTATCTTTTCTTATTCTTTTTGTTTTTTTATTTTTTTTATTTGGGTACTTAGCACCTATAAATATCTTTGCCAAGAGTATATTCGGAAATCTGAGAAGTGCAAACTTCTAACTTTGCATAACTTCGAATTATGCGTAACTTTTATTGAGATATTCGCTTATTGATTTTATTTATTAACATTGTTTATTGCGACTTTTTCATTTTATTCTGTTATTAGTCCAAAATCGTTTCCATAATCTAGGCAATTTGTTTAGTATGTACTCATCAGTAGTGATCAGTACTTGGATCACTATATATTGATCATTATTGGTTTCCCCTTTCATTACTATATCATTTGCTTTGCGAATTGTACGCGATTTGGTTCACCACGCATTATATGCCGTCTCACTTTACTGTTTAAACTGTTTTCAATTGTTTATGCAATTACTTACAGTGTCCCAAATACTGGCAATCTGATTTTAAATGCTGTTTTGAATACATAAATTATATTATAAGTAATTGTATTTAATTCTATTTAAATTTTGAAAATGTCTACTTATAAGTAAAATTAAATACAATTACTTATAATATAATTTATATATTCCGAAAAGCATTTAAAATCAGATTTCGGATACTGCCAGAATTAAGTTTTTTACCCTATACGAATTCCTAGTTCCATGATTTTCCCGTATTATCATTTATCGTGCACTTTTTTCTGACTTTTCCCGGTGTTTTTCAAAAATATATCCATTAATATAAAAAAAAAGACAATACAAACATTTCGATTAAAATATTTGCCTTTCGAATCAATAATTTTTTGCCATCTTTTAAGCAGCGTACTGATACCGCGGCAAAAGAATTGCTTCATAGCGCAATTTATCATTCACATCGAAATCGTCACTTTTAAATCTTTTAAATCAATTTTGATACAATATTAATTGCTATCCAATTCCATAAAGCTCACAAATTATTCTGGTGCTTTAGTGGTTTTACCGTGATGAAAATAGCATGCAATATAACAAATATGCACCTTTTCAGAGTATCCATTTTCAATTAAACTAAAAATATAGTTAATTATCTAACTGCGAGCGTATAGTTAATTGTCTAACAGCGAATTGTTATATAATTTTTCAAAATACGGATTGGTCTACTGTACTAATGGCAAAATAATTGGGCGCGGAAATTTAAATACACTGTTGTTAGTATTATCTAAAATTGGTCGTAAGAACCTATTATATTTATACATTTATTTCTATCAATATAAGTAATTTTGATTTGACTTATTTTTATCTTACTCTTCTTTTAAAAATTAGAAAAAATAAAGAGTAAATTAAATCAAGATTTAAGTTAATCTATGTATATTGATAAAAATGAACCTAAATATATATATCAGGATGAATGGCAAAAAAGGATTTCGTTTATTGTCGTAAAACACACATATACATGCATTCTCAGATCATTTTATTAAATTCTTAATTGGTATTATTGATATCTTTTTATTATCAATATCTTAACATACTATAATTATCTCACAATGCCTGGGGATATTGTGATGCCATCTTCGTAACCGCAGATGAATATCTTCGTCTATTCTCGAAGCTGTTCTGTTTATCTTAAAGAATCCTAAATAATCCTGGAACCGCATATTCGCGGTTCATTAGCGATTCGAGTTTGATTGGCGAAAGTAATGTGAGCCGATCAACTCAAACACCACCGTCATGTCTGTTCAAAGCCATCGCGAAATGACGAAACAAGTACAGGTGGTGACGGTGCATTCTTGCACAATCTCCTCGTCTCTATCGTTCCCTCGTAACTAGGAGTCAAGATCAAGAGTCCATTTGATAACCTGAAGATGAGCCACCTCCATTATAAAAGAGCTCTCCCTTCTGGTGGATACTCTGATGAATTACGTTCCACCCAGCTTTACGAGTTACGGTTAAGGCCGAGCTTTTTTCTTTCCTCTACTTTATTCCTCTTGTGAGGGACTCATTTCCATAATTCCCTATCTCGTGTCTTTCCTCTGCTTACGTCCCCTTCGTTAACGCCACCGGTTCCTTTGCGCTTGACAGGTATTCACGATGATAATGCGTCAACCCACGAGGTACCCTTTTGTCCCTCGTTATCATAACTACTTGAAAAATAGCATAAGATGATTTATGTCTTGAATAGAGCATATGTGTGCGTTCATATCCCATTTCGCGCTAAACATAAAGGTACAAATGTGGACATCGGTACATGAGTAGCGCGGAATCATCTAATCTGTCTGTTGGACACGACTTTCATAGGCGACTCCAAAGGTCCTTTGAAGTCTTGGAGACTTGAAACCATGGAGCAAAGTTGGTGACGAGTTGTCTGAAACTTACAAGTTAAAAGCAGCTGATAACTCCATAAATGAGCGAACAGATCGATACATCGAATTTGATTCGCTCCCCAAGCAGAACAACAAGTCACGATAACGTCAAAATGACATTAAAATGAATCGAAAATGATTGAAAAATGACTTTTAATGATCATTTTGATATTATAATGACTTGTTGTTCCACTTGGGTCCGTATAACTTCTTCGTTCTAAAAGAGATACCGGACTGCATACAATTAAGCGATAATATAAATATCCTAGATCGTTGTAGAGTACTTTGTAAGAATATAAAACGTACGCTGTTGCGCGAATCGTGCATTGTTTACGTGTAAATATGTCCTACTCCCTTCCTCCCGCGGTCCACTGCGATTCTCTAAATTCTTGGCACACGGTTGCGCGTTGTCCTCGCCGTTGCGACGACCTATATGTCTAAAAGAAGAACGGCCGGCCGTACGCGAAATCGTTAACGAGGCGATTCTCGGAGAGGCGCATTCGTCATCCGCCCGTCAGCTGTCGAGAGATACGAGCGTATATACGAGCGTATATACGAGCGTATATACGAGCGCGCGTTTCTCTACATTCTTTGTGATCGGCTTGCGCTTAATACATAGCATTTAAGGCAAACGCGGAGGGGCCTTTCACGAATCGTCATTGTGCGCTCTCTTGATCTACTATTATTAGCGGCTCACGAACCAACGGAGGAAAAGTTCTCTACCCAGTTCTTCTACTTTCCACGCGGGAGTGTATTCTTCGTCAGACGGGCGTCGCGGAAACTGCGCAGATATATCTCTGCACGATCACGTTCAAATCTTCCCGCGTCCACGGAGAGCCCGTCTTCGGGATGATAAGAAATAAATAAGAGAGAAAATCTGTTTTAGAGTGTTGAGGAAGAAAGCGATACAAAGAAAGAATTTATTTTACACAACCAACTAGCTTTTCCCATTTTCTATCCTTTCCTTTCTTCCCGCTTGAGAATTCGATTTCATTAATGGAAATATCTTTTCTTACGTTTGCTATTATAATTATACGTCTATTATTGTCTTCAACCATTCGTATAATTGCATGGTTATGACTACAGGTCAAGACGTTAATAAGATTCATAAGGTGTCATAACATGACTAACGACCATGACGGAGTTATAGCCCTCAAAGCCTCCCGACGCGTTAAAGCAAGGCATATGATCTTAGAATGGGAATTAAAAGCATTGTGAAATATTAGTGTATCACGCAACGAGTGGAAATCAGTACTGCTGCGCCGAGAATTTTACGAGAGAGAGTTCGACCAACGGAAACTCTCAACGCTGATCTCGTGGATGAAATCTCGCTTATCGACAGAAGTCACGTTGTTAATCCCAAAGTAGTCAAGTATAGCAAGCTGGCGTTATTTATCATCATTTTGACTATCTTTGTTATTGGGTAGTTTTTTGCATAAATGATATCTGGAGTATGTTTTACACCCCAATTAAAAGCCACTATAATTATATACATAATTGAGGGTCTAATAAATTGTAGAATAATTAGTGATATTTTGCTACAATAAATTGTAAAATAATAAATGATATACAATATGTTACATATATATATATGTATATATGACATATTCGAGCATGTGTAAATCTTGATTTATATAACTTGTTCTCTATTGAAACAGCCAAAAGAATGAAAAACAGATCTTGCGAACACTCTTCCGTCCAAAGACCTCGATATTTGGCAAGTCTTTCATCAAAGGACGAAAATAATATCGCGGAGTCAGCGGAGTATGTCGTTTGTGGATTCGCAGATGTATAACGAGAGAAGGTCCTAGGGAAAAAGAAGGAAAGACCCAACCGCATACGATCATCCTCTTATATGGGTGTGACATTATGTCGATGTTTTCTCCCATTTTCTCGTACTTCGTATCTGCATCGCACTAAACCATTAGGTTTTACGAGATGGATGGATATAAACTACGATCTTTTTCCTTCC